TATCAGTTGGACAGAGATGTACATACTGTACCAATGTGTGCAGAGAGCTGGAGGTCATAAATAAGTGAATGGATACAGCTTCCACAGGAGAAATCAGATAACTGACTTCTGAACTTAAGAATCAGTATCTTAATTTCAAGATGCTTAGTTTTGCTTGCATGATGAACTTCATCCATGCTTTAATATTACAACTTCAGGGCATCTGTGAAGGTGGGGGACCAAAAGACAATATCCTGGGAAGGCATCGTGCCAAGTGGCCAGCACGAGCATTCGCTAGGGATGCAGGAGGCGCAGCTGTCCTGGCGTGATGCTGTGCTGCTCGGTGTGCAGGGGGCAGATGCTCTTGCTGGTGTGCCTCCTCTCCTGAATTCTAATGTTACATTAAATGAGGTCTCACTGGTCTCTTCCTTCAGCTTGGTGAAAGTTCAAGACCCAGGCTAAGACGGAGAGCAAACTTCTTACTTCCTTTTGGGCTCTTGGTGAGAGAATGAGCCTCGCAAGCTCAGGAAAATGTTCTCTTGGAATCCACTGTGCCACCAAACGCTTGAAAAGGGAAGCGAGTGGCGTGCATTGTGAAAGGCGATTCGTTCTCATTATCTCCTGGCATATCGATTCTCCGCTTCGACAGGAGAGCTCTGTCACCCCGTCAGGCGGCGGAGACGGATGGCTGTGCCTGCTCAAACCAACGGCCCTGCGGGGAGGGGAGCAGCGAGGCACGGGCAGCACACACGGCATCTCCAGCCCTGCAGGGTGGCAGGTGATGGTGTTGCTGGGCTGCCGTGTGGAAAGAGAGTAGGAAGGGTGCTGGAGAGGGTGAGACGTGCTGTGGTGAATGGGTGTGCAGGATTCTCTTAGCACGGCTAGCTGTCACGTAACCTTTGTTCTGCTAGGCTTTTTTCTTCCATGTCTCTTCTGGTCATGCATGGTTTATGGCTGTTTGTCCCCATGCTTCCTAGATGCACTGAGCACATCCCTGTACCCGGCGCCTTGAATGTTGAAGGTCGCCGTTGAGCCTGGGAGGTGACATCTGCCTTGGGTCTGTGTTCCTGGGATCACAGAGGTGTCCAGTGTCGTGTATGGCTCAGTCTGGATCTTCTCCTTTAGTTTTTGCATGCTGATAGACAGAGGTAGGTCCCCAGGTGAAGCATCTCAAAAGCATGGTGTTTTGGCAGGGATGGAGGAGAGTTAAGCTAGAGGCCCATTCTGAGCAGTGTTTCTTCCAGGAACCTGCCACAGTGGATGAGAGAGAATGTTTCATCCTTGGACTTTTTACTACAACAGCCTTTCTGCAGAGAGATGAAGCTCGTGTACGAGACACCATTCACCATTTGCAAAGGTGTTTGCTCTGACTCTGCAAAACAATCCTTAAACTCAGAATGGCTCGATTATCATCACTGCTTTTCTGTGCAGCTTTTTCTGTCAAAGCTCACAAAAACTCTGTATTTCTAATATCCCCAGGCTCCCATATTTCCCCTAAGTGCTGCTATCTGGATGTGTTCTCATCCATATTCATCCTCCTTCCACCTGCACGAATCACAGCATAGCTGTCCTATCTCTGAATCAACTCCTGAGGAAAGCAGGGGCTGTCTGCCAGGTCTGCTCTGAGAGGAGGAGGCGGTGTTTCCTCCTTGGAGAGCAGGGTGAGGGGTCTGTAGGTGAGGCAGTGGGGCAGTGGTGATGGCACGCGGCACCATTTTGCCTCTTTGCAGACCCTTCTTTTTTCCCCCACGTTCCCATTTACATCCTTTGGTTAAAAAGGTGCTCAAACCTCAGGGGGTGGTCAGAGAGACGAGAAGTGTCCTCTGTGCCTTGTGGGCTGTTGAGCCTGTCTGCACTGTGTGCTGGGAGTGTCTCACAGCTTGAAAACCAGGGCAGACAAAACCCTCAGTTGCTTGTTAAGGACTTGTAAAAAAATAGCTACAATAATAATGGTATAAAACAAGGCTTTCGTGCCACCTGCTAACAATCCATCGTCACCTTCTTGGCTTTGCTGTGCTCGTGATGTCTGAAGGGCTTCTGTCCCTGGAGCGTGTTGCCTGAGAGGTTTGTCCTACATGCACAGGGTAGATTGATGCTTCAATGGCTCCATGTCTCACTTAGCAAGGGCTCTTTCTGGTGAAGCACCGCTGTTGGACAGTGCATGTGGCACCTGCAGGTGACCCAGAACAGCGTGGTGTGAGCGCCTTCAGCCTTCTGTCCCAGGTAGAGGAGGATGTGAGCAGGAGCTGTGTGTGCCTGCGGTTGCTGCCTCTTGTCTGCTCAAAGCTGTCTGTCAGTCAGAGCCTGTCATCTTCTTTTCATCTTGATTTATCACCCAGCATAACTAGGTTTCAGAGTTTCATTTTGGGCTTGCCTCCTTCCAGGGACAGGCAGATAAATCTGGCATGCAAATGGTTTAACTCTCTGGTTCCAGCAGTAAGGAGAGAGACTCACCTGCTGCAGGGAATGAGGAAATGCTGCTGTCAGGGCTGGAATTGGGCAGCAGCAGCAGCTTCCAGGTACCCAGCACCACCTCTCTCAGGGGGAACGCACCAGCAGAGCACAGCCTGCCTTCTTGGAAACAGTGCTGGTGAAGATCATAGTAATGGACTGTCACTCTTCATAACTTCAATTTCTGACAGGTTTAATTTCTGAAAAGTATTTAGGGGAAAAAAAGGAAGACAACAAAGGCAGTATTAATTCTGGCTTCTTAAGCCACGTACTCATACCCATCATTTCAGGAATCCACTGGAAACCTGGTCTGTCACAGCTCCCTACCACAAAGACACACACTGGGGCAGAGGAGGAAGTGGAGGTCTCTGAAAAGAGGCTCTGAGAACAGGGTGTGAGCCTGCAGCTTCCTGAACTGGAGCTGTTAGCACTGGTGTGGAAAGGGAGGTTTGGGCCAACGGTGAGAGTGAGCTGGGAGATGGAAGTGGCCGGCCGTCACTGCAGTGCAGGCAGGTGGTCGTGGCGTGGGGAGGAGGCGCAGGGCTTCGGCAGCGCGGCCGTGTGAGATGCAGGAGCAGCGTGGGGTGCCTTCGGAGCCGGAGCCCCCCTGCAGGAGGGAAAGGAACACTCTCAGCATGTTCCAGTTCTGCCCTGCCTGCTTTGCCTTGATCTCCATGGCACCTTCTCTCTCCTGTAGCCCGTGTGAGCCAGGGGAGCACAGCTGGATCGCCGTGGGGCCGCCTGGCTCTGTGCGATGTGGCTGGCAAACATCTTTGCTCGGGAGGGCACAGTAACCGTGGCTGTTCTCACAGGGTGCTGCTCTTGCTGGTTTGAGTGGAGGCAGTGGGAGTTGCACGCATGCAGATCAGTGAATCGCTCTTTTCCATAGCCCTCTGTAGCTGGACTTGGGAAAGTGAAGAGTGCCCAGCACTCCCAAGGAGGTCTGCCTCTCAGTGCCACGAAGGAATAGATTTGCTGTCATCTCCCCACGCAGCGTTTTCAGAGATGTGTTAGACTCGTCCTCTCTCTGGGAAGCAGTTGGAAGTGAGAGGTTTCCTGAGGCAGAGGCAGTAAAAGATGAAATACAGAGTGAGGCTGGGTGAGTGCTGAGCGTGAAGCTGCTGTTTGAAGGATGAGGAAGGAATGCCGTGAGAGGAGAAACTGAGTTTTGGAGAGCACTGAGTGTGCAGGGAGAGCAGTGTGCAGTCATGGTTATGCTGGTGCTGTTCTGGAACTGCTGCTTCTGTTCCATCTGTGTCCAGCCTTCCTGCCCCCAGCTGCCCACGTCAGGCACAGAGCAGGTGGGTGTCCTCACCTCCCTGTGTGCCCTGCCTGCCCCTCCTGCTGCTCCTAGGGCTTGGCCATGGAGCTGTCTGCTCTTCTGTTTAATTTCTCTGTATCTTTATTTATGACATTCAAAGTCATGCATAATACGAGTGTCAGCGTTTCTGGGGTTTTTTTCATTACCTGATAATTCATGGCTGTGCTTTGATGCCTCAGACCAGTGCAGGAGACAGCTCTGTGTGCCACAACAACCCATCCATTGCCAGCATCAGGCTGTAAATTTTACTGTTTTGTACTCTGCCAGACAGGAATTTTTTCCCCTGCTCCTTGTTAACTCCAGCTGATGATCATCCTTCCCAGGTCGACATGATTTTTGTGATGCCAGAATTAGTTTTCTGCTGTTTTTATGTGCCATGCTAGGAATAATGGTCTAGCAATAACCACTTCTGGCTCAAATTTCCAGCAGAGTAAATAAGGGTATTAGCCCAATCTCCTCCATTCATTTTTGTCCGTGGCACGTCACTGTGATAAGCTTTGTGAGATGTTGTTAGGCTATTCCCTGACATAAGCGGAGGGTAGACAAGCAGACTTTGTGCCTAGAAGTGATGAATTTTAATAGCAGTCTTTCGGTGCTGTCTTAGTCCCTTCCAGACTGGCTCCTCCACCCTGGGATTAACTACAGACAGCCTGGAAGTGGCTGGCAGTTCTCGCTCTGTCGTGCTTGGCAGATCGCAGGGACAGGAAGGCTCTGCAGTAGCTGCTGCTCCCTTCTACCTGCTTGGAAATACTAGTTGTGAATGCGTAGGAACGGCACTGGGACTGGCTCTGCAGCTGGGCTTCAGCTTTTCTTCTTCTAGAGGTCAAAGCTCAGACATCTCTAACTCACTTCTGAAAGGTGACGTTTAGCCGAGGTGTGTGGCAGAAGCCTCCACGGGCTGAGACCCGTGGGGAAGATGGGATGGTCTCAGCCCTGGCTCCTTCAGGAGCATTATACAAACATTATACAAACACAGTGACAGCGTTTGTGAGTTCGTAACCTCGCTGCAAACAGAGGTGGGGGGTGAGCACCTGGGGAGAGGGGCGCCTGCTGAAGGCAGCCCGGCGCTTCATGTCCTGAGCAGCGCTGGCAGCAAGTCCTGGTTAGCTGCTGTGCGACTTTCCTTTGGTGCAGCATAAGGAGGTGCTCCTGTGGAGCAGGAGAGCTGTCGCCGGGACTGCCTGCCTACGGGAGGGGGGCTGTGGGGAGCGCGGGCCTGGGCTTGACCTGAAGTGTTCTCTCTCTGCAGCTTTCATCCTCATGATAATTCTGGCCCTCATCCGCATCGGCAGAGGCCAAGCAGAAGGTCACCCGTCCGTGGCCCAGCTGTCGGGCATCCGCAACCTCTTTGGGGTGTGCGTCTACTCCTTCATGTGCCAGCACTCCCTGCCGTCCCTCATCACGCCCATCTCGAAGAAGAGGCACGTCAACAAGCTTGTGCTGCTCGATTACATCCTGATCCTGGCTTTCTACAGCCTCCTGTCCTTCACTGCCATTTACTGCTTTCGCAACGACACCCTCATGGACATGTACACGCTCAACTTCACCAACTGTGAGATCATCAACGTCGCCTTCATTCGCTACTTCTTGGGCCTCTTCCCCGTCTTCACCATCAGCACCAACTTCCCCATCATCGCGGTGACCCTGCGCAACAACTGGAAGACCCTCTTCCACAGAGAAGGGGGGACCTACCCCTGGCTGGTGGACAGGATCGTCTTCCCCGCCATCACGCTGGTCCCCCCGGTGCTGGTGGCTTTCTGCACCCACGATCTGGAGTCCTTGGTGGGGATCACGGGAGCCTACGCTGGGAACGGGATCCAGTACCTCATCCCAGCCTTCCTGGCGTACTGCAGTCGGAAGGACACCCAGCTGGTCTTCGGCAGCGGGGCGCTGAACAAACACCTCTCCCCTTTCCGGCACACCTTCTGGATAGTGTTCGTACTCATATGGGGCTTTTCTTGCTTTGTGTTTGTGACTGCAAACATCGTCCTGAGCGAGTCTAAATTCTGAGGTGGGGGTAAGGGCCGTGCTCCCTCTGGGGCTCCGTGGACTTCCACCTCACCGGGACTTTGAGGGGAAAGAGGCGGTGTGAAGGGGAGCCTCCGGGCCGTCGGTGGTGCAGGTTGGACCTGGACACAGACTTTCTTCGCTCCACACTGAGTGCGGACGGATCGGGCTCAGCCTCGTCATCCCGGTGCTCAGACCCAGTGTCCAAGCAGCCTGCACGCCAAACCAGTGTCCAGCCATTTCTGCCTTCAGCTCTGTTTGAGCACCACTCTGTTCTTACGCTGACTGTCTCCTGATGCTGCAGGTTTCAGTGCGAGGAGAGCAGGCGGCCTTGGCTGCTCACTACAGTAATCAGCTCCATGTTCTTCCTCCCCTGGGCAGGGGCTCGCCACGTGCAGTCCTGCGGGAGTTTGGGGGCAAGGAGTCTCTTCTGTCTGCTGAGACCCCTGCCAGCCAACCTCCTGTGCCAATTTAGGGAGGAAGGGAGAGTTTGGTGTGGGAATAGTCCTGGCTCTGAAGGCCTTGTGCTCTGTTACACTCGTGTTTTTATTTTTTTCCAGAGATATTAACCTGTTTGTGCTCTGGGGAAGGATTGCCCGCTTATCAGAGCTGGATTTCTCCAGGCCAAGAGTTCATTGTCACACTTCTCACCCTGTTCTCCTTTGCTCTGGCAGCTCCAACCCCATGGAGGAGTGCAGGGGTTTTGCTCTTCCTTCTGGGAAGGAAAGTGCAGCCTTGCTTCCGTTGCCTCCCGCATGCTGCTCAGTGAATCCAGCTGGCAGAGCCCTTTTCCATTTCATACAGTGCAGGCCAGAGCCCAGCTGCAGTGCTCAGGGTTTGTGTGGGCCAGGAAGGTGCTCATTACCCAGTCCTGACACGTGTTAGGCCTGCAAGAGCTCTGGCTGTGCAGGCTGATGTGTTTCCAGCCTCCTGTGCCGGGTAATTAGCCTTGAAACACGGTGGGTGTTAACTCAAGGGATGGGGCTGGTGCCAACAGGGAGAGGCAGTGCCACGGCTCAGCTGTGCTGAGCTGAGCTCCCAGCATTACGGACAGAGCAGCAGAACCCGTCCTGTGTCTCCCTGCTCTTTGCTGGGAGGTGGCATTCTGCTGGTCCTGCTCAGCTTATCTGAGCTGCCGACCTCCTGGGCGTTTTGTGTGGGCCTTTTAACAAGAGCAAGAACTTCAGAAGTTCTCACCAGAAATATTTAAAACCCTTTCTCCCCCTGCCCTCATTAGACAGGTTCAAAGCCAGGTGTGTGTCACTTCTCATACATCCTCTTGCCCTCTGCACTTGCTGCAGTATTAAGTGTTACTGATAGTTAAAGCAAGCTTTGAACTGCGGCACTTTTTAATCAAGCTCCGTTTTCAAGTAGGACTTTCTGGTTTCCATATGACCTGAAGTGCTCCTCCTGGGGGACTGTGCAAGTACCTGGAGCTGAATGAAAACACTCGATGGCTTCTAAAGCAAAGCCCCCCACCTCTCCAGGCTGAGCACTGCGCCTGTGTCCTTGCCAGGCTGCAGGGGGAGGATGTGAGGGGCCTGTTTCCTTCAGCTTATCCTGAGCAGGCACTGGCAGCCCTTGCTAGTGAATTTAAACATCCCCTAGCGTTCCAGGGAAGCTGATGTGGCATCTTTGGTGCCAGATGAGCAAGATGCTCTGCAGGTGGCTGGTGTCTCATTTAGGAAGAGTGGCAGTAGCTGTGCAGCTCGGAGAGTAAATTCGGTGGGCAGTTGAGCTGGGGGGGTGTGTGAGGCGTGGGGCAGACAGCTGCTCCCTCCCCTGTCTGCATGGCAGGGGGATGGCAGGTGCTGTGCTGGGGCATGCTGGGCCGTCCTGTCCTCTTGCAGCAGCTGTGAGCCAGGCAGAGCCAAAGGAGGAATTTGATGCTAATGAAAGCAGCCTTCAGAAGGCTGGAAGAGCTGCAGGGGCTGCTCTTCTATCGAGTGCACAGGTGTGGCTTCATGAGGAGGCCGCTGTATTTCCTACTGCACTGCCTGCCCTTGTGCAAGGCACTCAGCTCAGCCTCGTCCCTCCAAGGGCCGATTTGAATTTCTTGTCTCCACACTGCGTTGCCTACCAGAGAACCTTACTGACCCACGTTACTCTGCCCCACACATCCTCCCTTCCCCGCTCAGGGCCGCCCTCCAACTGGCCTGGGCTCAGGCTGCCCAGCCCCTCCGCACGCTGCATCCTCTCTGCGCTCCCCTCCTGCCCCCTGGGGCCGCCACTGCCTGTGCCAAAGCACAGCTGCTCCTGGGCCCCGCTGTGAGCCCCACCTCTTCCAAGGACCGGCCGCCTCCTTTGCTGGTCTAGCTCTGAAGCTGTGCCTTCTCTTGCTGGCCGTGGTGAGCAGCCCTCCCTGGGCACGCTGTGGCTGCTGGGCCTGGCGGTGGGCCGTGCCGTGGCACCCAGACAGTCAGAAGAGCTGTGGTCCCCGAGGAGCGCGGGAGCTTTTAGAAATAAATCAGCCCGAATTCCCGAACACCTGCTGTCTGGAGCAGCAAAACAAACCTGTCCCGAGAACTGGAGTGATTGAGGGAAGGGAACTCCGATGGTGAGAGCGTTTTTCACACAGAACATGACATAGCAATGCCTTAAAAGTGATGGGAGGGAATGGGAAGGGGTGCTGAGCAGAGCAGGGTGCTGCGGGCTGTCGGCCCCCCCTCAGCCAGCGGATCCATCGTCGTTGGGCTGCCATGCAGACATGTCACAGGTTCTCTGTGGTGCTCGGCCCGAAAGCAGTCCATTTTCAATAAAAAGGGATTCAAACAACAACCTGCACTCCTCTGTTCTGCCTGCCCTGCGCTCCCCGTCGCACAGCGCATCCTGCAGGGAGCTCAGGGGACGGGGCAGAGGCCCTCAGTGCTGCTGCTCCATCACTGCTGCTGCCAGCTCCATTAACACAGCTCCACTTTCCCCTTCTCAATTATACCTCCTCACACTTAAAACCAAACAAATTGAATTGCTCTGCTGCCTCAGGCTGCAAAAGCCGTTTCTGCCAACAAATTTATTGTCGCCGTAAAGCGCAGCTTGATTTATGTTAAAATATTAAAACAGATCTTTATGATGGAAATAAACATTTTGCTGCGATTCTCTCCGAGGACCTCACAGGCAGTGCGGGATGTGGGGCTTTGGGCAGTAAATCTGGAGGCCAAAGTGGCAGCGAGGACGGGTTCAGTCTTTGGCGACGCTTTGCAAAGGGACGACTGGAGGAAGGGAGAGGAAAACCGGCATCCCGCGAGGCAGGGCGAGCTCTGCCACCCCACAGCCGCTGTTCCCACCAGAACCCACCTGGGATGAAAGGTGCGATGAGGGCAGCGATGGGGACGGCTGTGGGGCAGCGGTGCATCCCCTGGAGGGCACACGGAGCACAGCCTGGGCAGCAGAGCCGGCTGAGTTACAGAATGACTGATTGCAGCACTGCCAAGAAATCAGTGCTCAGAAGCCGCCGAGCGCTGAACCACCCAACACAGGCACAGCCCCGAGCCCCAGCACCACGGCTGCTTCTCCTGCCAGCGCCCCACATCAGCGCTGCAGCCACAGGGAATGGAGTTAAAACGAGCCGTTCCACATCCCAGTCACTGTATAAATCAGCAGCGCAGCTCTGGGGCCGTGCTCAACCCACGGGCGCCCATCCCCAGTGCCACCTCCTGCAGGCACCCCGTGCCACCCACTGCCACCTCATCCCTCCCTGCCCTCCACCTCCCGCAGTGAAGTCCTTCAATAAAACATGAGGGAAATGCATTTGGCCTCTGCTGAGTCACCAGGGATATAACTAATTAATTGAAAACATGGGCTGGGGAGGTTTTTGTTTTGTCCTTACTGCCCCCACACCCAGCCTGGCCCTGGGCACTGCTGAGCCTGGGCAGAGTTACCACACCACGCGTGCCATGGTGTCTTTGGGCCACAAAGCCACAGTGTGGGGAAAACTTCCCAGGACACCGGCGGTGACAGCCTGTCCCCATGGGCACCCATCAGCCAGAGCTGCCCCTTGCAGCCAGCCCAGCTCGCTCCCCACCCCTCCATCCAGCACCATGGGTTCATTTCTCCATCCCTTCCACTCTCCATCGCCACTGCTCTCCCTCTCCAGGAGGCCCTCGGAGGGGCTGCCAAAGCAATTAAGTGACAATTGCGATGATAAATAAGTCACGGGAATTAAAACACTGGCACGTGATGGCAGCCAGGCTGGGGGCGGATGCAGAGACAGTGGCTGGACGTAACCCAGGCCAGATGGATGGATGGACAAACAGATGGATGGATGGACAGGCCGTGCCAGCATGTTTGTCCTTGGGTAGTGAGTGTCCAGCTCTCCCCAGGGCTTTGCTGCTCTCCCCATGGTGCCAACCCAGCCTTGAGCTGGGACAGGAAAGGGACTACGAGCCCAGGAGGGCTGTGGGGCGATGGCACAGCATAACAGCAGCAGGACCAGCACAGCAAGGCGTTACAAAAAGGAAAACGCTCACCCATCTCCGAAGATACAGGCTCACAGAAAAACTGCACAGAAGAGGGATCTGCAGCAAGAGACCCTTCCCCAGTGGCAGGCAGCCCTTAAATGAGGACTGAGAGGTGCAGCTCCACCCCTTCCAGCACACAGGTGAATCGCCTCCACCTGTGCTCAGGACTGAGCAGGTCTCTTCTTCCAGGCGCTCAATCAGTGCTTCAGGCTGTGACTCAGCAGTTCCCACACACCAGACGAGCTGCTGCCAGCAGGTTGCACTGAGCTCCGTCTGTTTCCCCCACATCCTGCACTGCATTTGCTCTCCCATCTCGCTCTCGGCTCATCACACCGGGGCAGCCAGGCACAGGGACGTGAGCAGGGATGGGGCTCAGGGCCACGGACATCGCTGCAGCTGAGGGGACAAAGCCAAGGGCAGCAAGGGGCTCAGCAGCAGCACTGGAAGAAGGGTCCCCAGCCAGTTCAAAACGTCTCTTTAATGACCTGGACGGGACGCTTGGAGTCCCTTGATGAAACCAAGACAGAAACATGGTGACAATGAGTTCAGTGTCCCCACGTCCCCAGCCAGCCCTGCCTGTGGGGAGAGCCCAGTCCAGCCTCGAGGAGGCTCCTTTGGCCTCCAAAGTGAGCAGACCTGGTTTGGCGCATCCCACTGTCGGCGATGGAGGACGCTCCAGGAGGGAAGCAGGGCGAAGGGCTCGTGGCTTCTCTCCACCCAGGCCGGAGGCGAGCAGGGAGCAGCACATCTCTCGGAGCCGCCCGTGCCCCCATCAGACCTCGGACTCCAGGCTGGAGACCCGCCGCCAGGACCCGCCGGCACAGGGACTCGTCACCCCACGGGCCGCCAACCACTCCGCGCCCACCGCGCGCGGCCAGCCCGGCTCCCCCCGCCGTCCCCAGTCTCTGTGGGCTCCGTCCCAGCGCCCCGGCCCCCGGCTGCCCCCCGGCACCTCGGGGTGCTCGCGGGACGAACGGCCCAGGCAGAGGGGCGGGTGGGCGAAGGAGTCCGCGCAGGCATAGGGCGCGCATGCGGTGCCGCGGGGCTTCTGCCGGCACGCTTCCCGGTAGGACGGCAGCCGGGCCAGAGGGGAGCCCGGCGCCCGGCCCGGCCCGGCCAGCCGCCCGGCGGCCTCGGGGCAGCGCGGACCGCAGCCGTGGGCGGCCTCGGCTTCGGGGAAGAGGTCGGGGACGTCGCCGCGGGCAGCGGGTGGGCGCGCCCCGCACCGCCGCAGCCCCGCACCGCGACGCTTCTCTCCCCGCTCCCGCGACGCTCGGTCCGCGCTCGCCCGCCGGCTCGGCTGCTCCCGCTCTGCCGCGGCTCTGCAAGTCCTGGCGGCTTTGGGGAAGGAGCCGCGGGCGCAGGCGAGGGGAAGGGACGCGTTCCCCGCCTCCCTTCTCGACGCCGGGAGCGGACGCGGCGCCGTCCCCGCCCCGTCGCCGCAGAGCAGTGGGACGGTGGGCGGCCGCTCCGCCCGCTTGTGCTCCCGGTAGATGTCCGGCGGCGGGAGCTCCCTGGGAGGCGTCGGAGCGCCGATATGGTTCCCCATCAGCGCGTGCTCCTCGAAATCCCCGTCCGGCGCCGCCTTCGCCGGGAGGTGCGGGAAGGGCCCCGGGAGGGCTCTGTCCGCCGCACCGCCGCCCTGAAGCTTCACGGGGTGAAGGACGCGGGCGGTGCGCTCGCTCGGCCCTCTCCATCTCTCCTCCCGGGAGTCCACGGGGATGGGCAGAGGCAGCTCCCGGGGCGGCCCTTTGGGCGCGTAGACTCTGCGCAGCCTCTCGGGGTGCGGGGGGCCGCAGGAGGGACCCCGATGCGTGCCGGTGCTGTTCTGCACCACGAGCTGCGGCGTCCTGAGCGAGAAGGTGGTCTGGAGGTGCTCGCTGCGGCTGCTCCAGTCCTCGATGGTTCGCGTGGCGTGCTCCAGCGAGCCGCCCACGCTGGCCGTCGACACCATGTCCTTGGCCGCCTGCAGCATCTTCAGCACGTTGGCTTGGGCTGAGCTCGCCGTCACGTCGGGCGTGGGCGCCCGCCCGGGGCTGCCCAGGGTCTGCACCCCGCTGAAGCAGCTGTAAATGCCCTGCGGAGACAGCGGGGAGACCGCGCCGTCAGCAGAACCGCATACACAGAACTGCATACGGCCCCACCGTGAGCCGACGCTGCAGGAGGGGTGGGAAGAGCCAGGAGTTGGCCTCGATCAATTGCAAGCTCAATTTGGCCCCACAAAGCCCCATCCCCACCGCGGGGCAGTTCCTGTCCCCCGGCAACTCCCCCGCCACACAAAGCCAGCAGCGACCGGTGCCCAAGGCTGTCCCCTCCCGGCGCCCCGCGGCGCGGCACAGACCCTGCTGATGGCCAGGAGGAAGTCGAACTTGTGGGACTTGGGAACGCTGTGCCGCAGCTTCCAGTAGACGAGGTGCTCCCAGGCGAAGACCAGCAGGCTGAGCCCCATGGCCACCAGCAGCATGTAGAAGACTCCAGCCATGTTGTCAATATCCAGCTTGCTGCTCATCACTTCATTCTTCTCGTTCTGACAGATCCCCGACAGCCACACCGTCTCCAGCTTTTGGGTCTCACCTGGGACCAGGCACACACAGGGATGGGGTAAAAGCCTACCATGGGCACCACTCCCCCTAGCACAGCCCCTGCCTGCCCTGACCCCACCATGCTGGTGGAAGAGGATAAAATCCATCCAGACCCCAGAGCTGCTATGATAGAATTAGTGTGGATTGGGTTGGGTGGGACCTTAAAGATCACTGGCTCAGCCCTCACCACTGAGCATCCCTCGTGTTGCTCATCCATCTCCAGGCCCTCTCCCACCTCATCCCTCCCAACCTATCTCCTATTCCCAGCTCTACCCCCCGGCCCTCAGATCTTGCACATGGCCTCCTCTGAAATTTTCTCAGATTTTGCATATGGGATTTTGCAGCCCTCAAGAAGAGCAGAGACCAGATTGGGAATAACCCCATCCTGTGGCTGGAGAGGTGTTGATGGGCTTGAACATCACCTTGAAGGAGCAGCACGACTTCCCCAAGGACCCCTTAAGGCTACCCTACGATGATCCATGGATCAGGGGCTCTGGGCACGCACCATCTCCCAGGAATTGCAGCAGGGCCAGGTCAATGGCCCGCTTCCAGCGTGAGTCCTTCTGCAGGGCGATGCCGTAGCCCGTGGTGGCAAACACCTTCCCGCTGCCAATGGTCACCAGCTTGCAGCCCTCGTCTTTGCCCGCCATGTAGTTGAGCACCGCCGCATCGTAGATGAAGGCATCCAGCTTCCTGCCCACCACCGAGAGGGCTGGGTGAGGGGGGGCTCCTCGGGCTGGGGACAGATCCCTTTCTGGGGAGCTGTGCCCCTTTCAGTTGGCCGCATCCCAGGGCGATACCCTTTGGAGGATCTCAGCCTCATCTTGGAGAGTCACAACCACATCCAGGGGAGAGGAACCCAATCTGGGGGGCATGCGTCCCACCCGGGGCAGCTGTAGGAAGCTCTAACCCAACTAGGAAAGCCCACCACCATACCACCCCAAAGTACCCTCCAGGTGAGCTGTGCTCGAACTGGGGAGCTGCAGCTCACTTGAGGGGGCTGCACCCCAGCCGAGGAATCCATACCCCACCTGGGGAGCACTGGATCCCGTCTCAAGGAGTCATATAGGGCCGTACTTCATTTTGGGGCCCCACACCCTGTCCAGGAGAACCATACCCCATCTTGAGGCTGGTGAGGGCATCCTCCACAGAGCGCTGGTTGTACTTCACCATGTGGGTGTGCATGTCGGGGTAGTTGCTGCGGATGTTCCTCTCGGTGCTGCCGTTGGGGACGGTGCCGAAGCGGAACGGGGGGTATTGCTCCTGCGGCCTCTGGAACTGCAGCAGGGAGCCCCGGGTGGCAGCGTCATGGGGAGGCCACATCCCTGCTGTGTCCCCAGCATCTCCCCCAGCCAACTCTCTGTCCTCCCATGCACGTGCAGCCATGCAGCCCCTCAAGGGCTCCCCACATGGATAACCTTAATTTTGGACGGGGGGGAGAAGAGCCCAACCTGCACCTCACCTTCCTGTCGCTCAGCCCTGACACGGTGTCGATGTACTGCTCCTGGATCATGAAGGCCGCCAGGTTGGCGGTGTAGCTGGCGAGGAAGATGACGGCGAAGAAGGCCCAGATGAGCACCATGATCTTGCTGGTGGTGCCCTTGGGGTTCTCGATGGGCACGGAATTGTTGAAGACCAGAGCCCACAGCAGCCACACCGACTTGCCGATGGTGAAGGTGGGGCCGCCCGGCCCTGGGGGGGACGGGGCAGAAGGACAGGTGTCAGCAGAGGCTGTGTCCCCTCCCAGCTCCCACCTCTACCCACTCACTTTTGCCACTGGTGAGGTTCTGGTTGTAACCAACAGGGCTGAAATACTCGAACACAAAGACAGTGACGGCCACCACGGTCAGACACATCACAAACATCATCACCCACACGGCTGGGCTGTAGGGCTCTGCAAGGCGAGAGGGATCCGTCAGATCAGCCTGACACCCCAAATCCCTTCACGTTTCCCATGCGGTCGCAAGTCGCTCCTGGTGGCGGCCCTGGCCATGACAGCAAGACTCTTTTCTGTGCAAATCGCCCCCGGCAGGGATGGGGCTCATCAGCAGGGAGGTGCGGCGGTGGCACCGCGGGATGCGGCCCCGGCCCTGCTGAGCAGGACAGGCTGCCCTGTGCATCCCAGGGCCATGGAGCTGGTGAAGGTGACCCCACACCTCCATCCCTCATGCAAAATACGATGAGGTAAAAACAATAATAATGGGATTACTTAGGGAGGAGACAGCCCTGATGGCGGCGGCTCAGCCTCCTTCCCCGGTGAATTGCAAACTGGATTTTTTTTACGTTATTAAAACCAAGCGCTATTTCCAACCTGCTCTTGCAGACTGGGCTGAGCCCACCCGCACTCACCCAGGAAGGCAGAGGGTGAGACAGTGCCGTTGCTCCTGGCCACCATCACACTGATTCCAGTCTCCACGAAGGGCACAGAGAAGTCCACGATCTCGGAGCGCTCCTCATTGATGGTGAGGGATCCGATGGCCATGTCTGCACGCTTGTAATACACCTGGGGAGGGCGGGTGGCCTCAGGACAGGCAGAGGAAGAGGAGGAGAGCCAAAGGCACCGGGTCACAGAACCATGGAATGGTTGTGTTGGGAGGGACCTCACAGCTCACAGCGCCACCCCTGCTGTGTGCTGCCTCCCAGCTCAGGTGGCCCTTGGCCAATCCACAGCCTTGGGCACATCCAGGGATGGGGCACCTTGCTGCCTTCCTAGTAAAGAATTTCCTCCTAACATCTAATCTAAATCTTCCGTTAGTTTAAAACATTTCCCCCTTGCCCTGTCACCGTCAGACCACCTAAAAGCACAGAATGTCACTCTCCATCTTTTTTATAAGCTCCCTTTAAGCACGGAAAGCAGTGAGGTCTCCCTGCAACCTCCTCTTCTCCAGGCCAGACGACCCCACCTCCCTCAGCCCTTCCTGTAGGGATCACAGAACCAGAGGTTGGAAATCCCACTCGGGTCACCAAATCCACCCCCACTGCCCACATCCCTCAGTGCCACATCCCTGCGGTTCTGAACGTCCCCGGGGGGCTTCCCTGCTCCCCACTGCGCCACCACTCTTTGGGAGCCGTTCCTCCTCATTCCCCACCCAAGGCAGGACAGCTGCCAGGCCCTACCTCACCAATCATGCCGTTCCACACCCCGCGCACGATCTTGCCGTGCTTGCCATTGGTCACCAGGTAGAGGTCGTAGGAGAACTTCACCGTCTTGGCCAACTTCTTCAGGATGTCGATGCAGAAGCCTTTGCAGCACAGCTTGGTGTAGGGGTCTGCGAGGCCATCACTGCTGAGACCGCGCCAAGAAAAATGGGTCAGGGTTCTGCAGAGTAGGCACAGCCCTGAGCTGCTCCTGTGCTCAACACTGTGTGCACGCCAGCAGTGTGAGTGAGGTGGGCTTTGTCCTCTGCGGAGAGCTGGAGGGATGGGAAGGGAAAGGGGAGTGGGAAAAAGGGGAGAAGGGGGAAAGGAAACTAAAGGGAAAAGGGAAAGCGAAGCAGAAGGACCCGCCGATGGGCTCCCAAAGCCCCAGTGGATGAGGGCTGAGCCTTTCCCAGCACCGCTCCAGCCAGCAGGCTGCACGGACCTCTCCTGCTCTGTCTGCAGCCCCATCTCAGCAGCTCCCAGCTGTGCCTGGGGCACACAGGGCGCAGTGCTGCTCACCTGGCCGAGGCGTTGGTCTGCTTGCGGCAGGGCACGGTGTTGCGCACGCAGACGCCGGTGCTGGGGTCGGTGTTCTCCACGATGACGAAGGGCCGCTCCTCCAGCGTGGCCACTGTCAGGTGCCGGTTGTCCACCACGGGCTGCAGGAAGGAGCCGTAGCGGGGCCACACCGGGTACTTCATGTGGATGATGCCGTGCTCCCACTTCCCCACCTGCCCCCAGGGAGGAGAGCGCACCGTCACCGCTGTACGGGGGACCCAGAGCGCCGTTGGGCTGCAATCAGCGCAGTGGGCGCTGCCCCGCTCCCACCACCCACACACGCATGCATGCTTTCCCCCAGTGATGACAGGCTGAGGTTTTCTCTCTTCCCGGGGCTGTGTGCACAGAGGTAGCCATTTTTCACTCGAAATGCTTTTAAACTGGAGAAAGCACCTCCAGATGGCTTATTTCAGGTCTGTGCCTGCGTGGCCAGAAGCATCAGGCACAGCCTGGAGTGGGGCTGGCAGAGGAGCAAGGGATGAAGCAGCTGTAGGGTGGGGAAGTGCACACTGAGGTGTGCAGTGCTGCACAGGCAGGACTGAGGATGAGGGAGATGCAACTGTGGGGGGGAAATGCCACAGCCACAAAGCCAAGGGTGCTGCTGGCGTGCATGGGGGCCCCGCAGGGTCCCAAGTTGGCAGGGACAACACCAACGTGTTGGTGTCAGCCGTAGGGCTCGCGTGGCTCATGCTGCCCCCGGGGCTCCTACCATCTCCCAGAGCCGGTGTTGGTTGAGCGAGATCACCACCATGGTGGGCCTGACCAGGTAACCGCCCTCGTTGAAGGAGAAGTCCCTGTGCTCCCACGTCACGTTGAGGAGGTGCCTGGGGGGCACAGCATTCAGTGAGCGCAAGCCCTGCGTGTGCCCAGCTGCCCTGCCTCCAGCCAGGGTCCCAGGTCCCCAGAGAGACGCAGGATGGGAAGAGGAGCCCCAACTTAGCCCCTGTGCAGCAGGGAGCCAAGGCAGCCCTCCTTGCAACAAGGTGCTGAGGATGGACCGCTGCAGGTGAGGATGGGCAGAAGCACAGATGCTGCCACAGCAGCACCGAGATGCAGCATTTGCAGCACGAAGAAACCCTCAAAGAGTTGTAAATCCCCTCCTAGGTCCCCCATGGACAAGGCAAGAGACTTTCCAAAATGCTTGAGAAGAAGCCAAGCCAAGAGGCTCCAGCTGCAAGCATCCTCTCCCTGCACCCCTCCTCCATTTCCCCATTCCCCAACGCAATGCACGCCAGCGGCTCCCCAGACCTCACCGGTAGAAGCTGGCGTTGGCAGCAGCAGCGGGCGCCCAACAGTCCCGTCCCACATCTGGGAGGAAGCCGTGGGCTCGGAAGAAGCTGGCTGCCCCCATGGCAATGATGGCCACCCCGTCCCGCACCTTCTGCCGCAGACTCAGCTTCCAGCTCTCTGTCACCACGCTGATGAGGCCGACAGGGAAGGAGGTGGGCGGCAGCTCCATGTTGCCCACCGTGAGGCTGGGCACGATCCAGATGTAGCCCGGCCCCACCAGCCCGGCTTGTCCAGCCATCTCAAAGAGGAACTCAGCCTCGTCCCGTGAGCAGTAGACCAGGAGCACTTGGGCATCAAGCTGCCGCAGGAGCCGCTGCGTCCTGGAGCTGCTCCGCTCCTGGCTCATCTCGAAGGTGAGCACATCCTGCAGCTCCCAGCCGAAGTAGCTGGCATCAGTGAAGGAGCGAATGAGCTCCAGGAAGATGTTGTAGCCCGGGTAGAGGCTGGTGATGACGGCAAAGGAGCTCCAGTCGTATTCCTCCAGCACCTTGAAGATCACCTGGATCTGCTGCTCGATGGAGACGCCCAGCTGCAGGAAGGCTGAGCTGGGCTCCTGTGGGGGAAGCAGGGCTCAGGGGCTGGTTGTCCCCATGGCACGGGGCTCCCCGCATCCCTGCAGCTGACTGGGAAACCACCAACACACTACGAGCTGCTGCGGTCTGTGGTCTGGAGACACCCAACCCTACGGGTTCAGCCCCATAGTTTCTGCAGAGCCGTGGGCATCCCATGGCACAGGGTTGAGGTCTCTCACCTCGTTGACCAAAACCCACGCAGCAGTGCTGACAGAGGACCGGTCGCTTCCTGCATGGTGCTGGGAGCAGCTCCTGCACCGCTACCTGCTGCCGGCTCCATCGCCTGCCCCACCTCCCCGGCCATCTGGCCTCTCATTAGCAAATCTTAATTGATTTGATTCTGTCTTAAATGATGCAGCGAATGGCATTTTCAGAAGGTCGTAAGCAGGCAGCAGGGCCTCACCATGCAGACTGCCTCCACCTTCGGGTTTTTTTCCCGATGCTCCCAGAGGGGTCTGGGCAGTGGGGGCTGCCCCTGTGCCACCCTATGGATACACCAGCTGCAGGACAGCCAAGGCCACCTCACCTGCTGCCACCCAGCCATGGGGAGCTCAAGGAGCTTGGCGTTAGGATTAAGCCTAAAACTGCACTGCCCCAAGCATCTGGGGGAGCCTTCCAGATGTTTGCCTCTGCTCTCTTTGAGCAGGAGGAGGTGGTGCCATCCATACAGCCAGCACCGGGATCCCTGGGAGCCAGTATGGGAGGAGAGACCAAATCCTGCCTGCACACCCAAGGAAAGCCCCACTGCCCCAGCCAATAAACACCAGATGCCAATCCCAGACCCCAAATAACAGGCAGCCAAAGCCTCACCTTGGGGCTGAGGACCACCGCAGAGCCCCCGCTGATACTGATGATGGGGACCTGGGTCTGAGAGGAGATGAAGTCAAGGATCTGGGCCACCGCTTCCGTGCCAACGTTGTCCTCGAAGACAATGCCGTGGATCTTGTGGCTGGCCAGCACGTCGCAGATGTGGGTGAGGAGGGTGCTGGGGTTGGTGTTGTTGACAACAACGGTGATGGGGTGGATCTCCAGGGGCATGTCCAGGAAGCTCTGGGGACTCAGGCGGGAGCGGATGTGCAGCGGGTAGGACGTGCCCCCAAACACCACGGCCACGTTGACCACTGGCTCTGCAGGGCCGGGCAGCAGCACATCGGTGAAGGCAGCTGAGCAGCCCAGCACCAACGACAGCAGCAGAGTGCGCGCCGGCGCTCTGCCCATGTCCACCGCCGTGTCCCTGCGAGGATGGACACAGCCCTTCACACCCATCCATTTGGGAACACTGCCCCATGCACCACCCCAGCACTGGGTGACCCCAGCAAAAGGGGGACTCTCCTCCCTTGGAGGCTGGATGCGGGGCGGGGATGACCGTAGGCCTGTGCCCTCCAGCTCAGCCCCTTTGGGAGTACAGGGTGCTGTCTCCCAGTGCCACATTCCTTACCCTCATCCCCAAGAGCCACAAACCTTCCCCAACCTGTTCCTCCTTCCCTCCACAACCCCATCACCATTTCGCTGCCACTTTGCCCTCCTTCCCATCTGAGCCACATTAGGATGCTCCTCACTGCCTCTGGGCAGGGACAGGGACAGCAGCAGGAGGCGCTGGGAGGAGCTGGATGCTCCCTCATGGCTCTCTCCACGCTGACAGTCACCTGAAATATTTACAGGCTGAAACCTCGCATTCCCCTGAGCACCCTCTGCAGTGCAGTGTGGATCCCTCACAGAGCCAGTGGGGTCAGGATGTGATGGGACAGAAGAGCCCCTCAGCTCCTGCTGCTGCCTGGAAGGAAAACCCCCAAAAGCCCCATAAGCTGCTTACCAGCTTTAGCTGCATGGTACCCAGCTCAAGTACCCAGCAGTTCCTAAAGAATGGAGGAAAATGAAGGTTTCCTTGCAGGGCTGGTGGGCCCTTTGCAGCCTGGAACACCAACCCCAGCCTTGAAGCCCCAGGGCCATCAGCCACATGCCAGCCATGGTGGCACTGCATGCAGCAAGATGCCAGCTGCCAGCCGGCGCTTGGAAATGTCACCCGCAATTAAAAGCTGCTGTTGCTTAACGCATCCTTGGCATAGAGAGAGAAAGTTTGGGGTCTGTGCTGGGGCTGCCCCAGGGACCCCTCTGTCCTGTGACACGGCACAAGGCCACTTGGTGAAAAGCACTGCCAGAGTTTCGGGCTGAAAATATGTGAAATAACCCAAATTAGTGCCTCTCCACGCACCTGGTGTCACAGCCAGGGTTGAGCTGTCGAACGGCCTCACAACCCCTTCCCACATCCGTGCCCCCTGCAGCAGCCACAATGCCAAGGTGAGGCACAGCCCCCGGTGACTCACACTGATGGTGTCCCACACCACGGCACAGCCCGGCCCGCACTGCCGCTCCTCGCCGCAATCCCCGGGTATTTTTAGTCCCACGATAAATAATTCATTGGGAATCCGGCACCAGCTACCCGAGCAGGGAGGAAGGGGAGCAACGCACCACCCAAAACAAACAGAGCCGCTCTCCCGGCAGTTCTGTCTGTCTGATGGCTCCTCAAGGACACTGAAATACACCCCAGGCCTTCACTGCAGCTGAGATTTGCTCCATCAGCCACGTGCCACGCGCGTCGCCCACAGCGCCGGCACGGGACGGCCAAACCCCATCCCAGTGTGGTTCTGCACTGAGCTCCGGAGAACCCCAGCAGCCATCAGTCCACACACAGCAGCATAGCCCTCTCCAAAAGCCAAGCGCCGCTTCCAAAGGGGCTGCTCGTGTCGGGCTGCAACTGCCATCCAAAATCCCCAACCTATATCGCAACGGGGGGCGGATTTGGGCAAACGGGATCGACGTCGAGCAGCATTGCCTGGCTCTGTCCCCACAGCACGGTGACAGCTGCAGAGCGAGGAGGTGGGCACGGCCCAGAGCTGCTCAGCCACCGCTCAGACCAACAGAACAAACCCAGCAGTGCCGCTGAGATGGTGCAGAGGAGGGGGTGCGAGGTTGGGCCTGGGGGGGACAGCGGGGTTGGCTCAGGGATTACCTGTAGGATTGGGGTTGTAGCATCGTTTCTGGTGCCAGAGCAGCTGGTGCAGCCCTGAGGATGCCAAAATGGCCGGGATTGGGATGCAGAGCACAAGGAGCCGCCTGGGCACGGCTGGCAAAGCGCAGCATCAGCCTGCGCCTCGTAGGGGGTGGGAAAACGGGATCTGAGGGAGAAGGCACCAAACAGCAGCAGGGGGCCGGGGACCAGGCTGAGCCCAGCAGCTCCACAGGGGTGGTGGCACAGGGCAGAGCCCACGGACCGGGGGACCCCACGCTGACTGCAGACAGAAGGGCTGATGTGGGAGCGAGGGATGGGGCAGCACCAACTCAGGGCTCACAGAAATCCGTTCCAGGCGTGCTCCGAGCCCTCGTCTTCCTCCACCTCCCGGAATGTTATTTTAATGCAACAGGGAAAGTTCACTTCTCGCTTTAAGACTCTTTTTGCTTCTATCCGTCCCTTCCTCCCCGCTAGCATCCGGAGCCTAGCGGGGAGGAAGGGGGGGGGGGGGAACCGTGCGGATGCTGTGACCTCGGGGAGGGGAGGAAAAAAATCCCTAATTGCAAAAATCCTTCTGGAGAAAGAGAAACCTTATCTCAAAAAGAGCATCAGAGCCCGAGAACCACAGCGAGCGGGAAGGGGCCGGGAAGGACAGCGCGAAGCGGAGCCGCGGGGGATGCGGGGGCACCGATAGGGCCAGGAAACGCGTTTGGTGCTGCGCAGGTGAGGGGCGGCCCTACAGGGACCTTAGTGAGCCCCTGAAGGGGGACAACGGCAAAACCGCCCCGACCGTCCCCTCCGGCTGCCCGGAGACGCAGCGCTGTCTCCTTTCAACCTTCATCCCGCGCCGCCCTCCTCCTCCTCGCAGCACCAGTTGCGGGCAGGGCCCGGCGCGCCCCGCACACACCGAAACGCACCAAAACGTAGCTTAAAAAAAAAAAGAAAGTCGGATGTGGATTAATCGAAAACAAAAGCGAGCGGCGGGTTATGCAAGGTGCGCTTATTTTTGCGCTTCCCCCTAAAATAGACCCATCCCCATTTCGAGATGATGAGAGATGCGGCTGTGAAATTTCCAGGAGACCCCCCAGAAAACCCCAACTCACCGCTAAAAGTTCCTGCCGAGCCCGTCGGGGGCCCGGCCCCCCCAGTCCGCCCGGTACTCACGGGAGCAGCGCCGCTCCGGCTCCTACATGCCCCGCTCCGCTCCCGGGGGCTCCTCCCGCTGCCGCCCCCCACCCGGGGCAGCCCCAGGGCACGGTCCTGCCTCGCTGCGGCCGAGGGGTGCGAGGTGCCAGGGCGAAGGGGGGGGCGCAGGGTGGGGAGGGGGGGTCCGGCCGTCGGTCCCAGACTCGTCCTTGGAGGAGGAGGACGAGGAAGCGCTGCAGCTGCGGCGGGAGGGAGGGATGGGAGCGGAGGAAGGAGGGAGAGGGGTGGGTGCGCACGGGGACGGGGGGGGCCGAGCTCAGTCAATGCCAGCAGGTGTTCCAAGGGGACCGCTGCCCCCGGCTTCATGCTCGCGGCTCCCCGGTAGCCATAGCCGGGTCGGGACGGCCGGGGATCGGGGATGGAGGCAGAGATGCGGGCACGGGAAGGGAGGGCAGGAAAAGGAGGGGTTGGCAGAAGGACGAGACATATGTCCTCCCGGCCCCTGCCCTCTGCCGAGCCGCAACTTCGCCGCTTGGCTGCAGTCCCCCCTCCAAATTCGTGCTCCGGGCGCGAGGAGCCAAAGCAGCAAAGCTCCCCCATGAAAAAAAAAATAGCAAAGTAGCACAGCCCGCGGCAAGGACCCCTTCCTCTCCCCGGACATTGCTCCCCTGCAGCCCACCCACAGAAAGAACCAGAGCCTGCCCCCGGCCCCCCCCCCCCCCCAAACACGTACACCCCAAATACCTTCCAGCCGTTTGCTAGCTTAACCGCTGGGAACCGTCCTGCTGCCCATCGCGGTGCCCCCCAGCCAGCACGGAGCAGCCCCGGGCCCCCATCCGCCGCAGGGGGGCACAGGGAGCGCAGCCCCTGCCGGCAGCAGCAGCCTCCAGCTGTCGCCAGGGCCCGTATTAAGGCATCAGCTGATCCCCCACGCCGCTCGGGGGGAGAGCGGGGGGAGACCCGGCAAAGGCAGGGGGAGACGGGCAGAACTCCAGGGGGTCCCGTTGCCCTCAGGTTGGGCGCTGGGTCCTCTCAGCAGCACCCGTGGCACCTCTGGAGGTGGAGGTGCCCGGCCCGGGGACACGGCCACCCCCTCGAGAGACCCCCGTGGCACCAGGATGGCCGTCACCCCCCGCACCGGCACCGCAGCCACCTGCAGCACCATCACAGCCCGTGCCACCAAGCGCTCCCCCAGCACCAAACACAGGCCAGCGCCCATCCACGTGTCTCATGGAAAGGTCGTTTCCAGAGAGGTCTCAGCCCACGCCAGCCCCGCTGCTCGCAGTGAGCACAGGACCTCTGCGTGCCTTTCCCCAAGGCCAGGGGCCCTGGGGTTTGCAAGCGATGCCAAAACAAATGGAAACTGTGTTTTCCTCCTGGCCTTCGCTTTAACCCATTTATGAGCAGCAGCCCTGCTGCCTCCAGGACAGCTTGCTCACATCTCCAAGGCGTGAGGATTCTGCAGGGCTCGGGGCATGCGCAGCCCTCTGCTCAATATGGACATGATGCCGCTCTCATGCTCCAGGAAAAGGAGAGGGGAGGCTGAGCAACAGGCCACTGCCCAACAGGCAAGGGTCACCCTTGTTTTCAGCACCGCAGAAAGGGCACCCGTCTGCAAGTAACCCTTCCACCAAGGGCTGGATTGGGCCTCGCTGGAAGGCTGGTCCTTCTCGCAGGAACAGCCCTGTTCCCACGCCAATCTCCATCCCGTGGGTTGCTTCCCCTCCGTGGGCTCACACACCCACCCGGGCACAGTGAACAGCTGGGTACACCTGGAGGGTTCCTGCAGCGGGGATGGGCCTACAGTGCCACACATGCCAGCCTGACAGCCATCTTTTCTCTCCTCTGAAGGTATTGAAATAAAATAAACTTTTTTTCCTGCACCCACCCTGCTGCCATGGCTGTGCCCTGAGGTTCTGTAACAGCCCCAGCATACGGCACTGTCTCACAATCATCAAACCCACCTTATTTCAACACGTGAATAACACAAATCCTTTTTACATTTCCCCCCCAGAAAAGCACCCTGGTGGTTATAAAGGTCAGAGCAGAACAGAAGCACCGACTGCACCCTGGGAGGAAGCCCTCAGCCCTGCCAGGCATGGGTTGACATTTCCTCCTAAGAGAAAACCTCATTTCCCCACTCAGCACCATCCAACCTCGGTGTGCTGCGCTCCCCCTCTTTTTGCTGGGCTGGGAGGGCACAAAGCTGCCCGCCCCTCTCTTCTCCTTCCCTCCCACACTGCTGTGCATTACCCCGGCAGGTTCTCAGCCCACAGCACCCCCTCTGCCCATTACCTTCCCCCGCTGCGTGCCCTGCAGGAGGCTCTGCTGCTGCTCGTTGCCCGCAGCGTGCGCTGACAGCTCCTGGTGCACAGCCACATCCTGCAGGGAGGGCTGCAGAAACACAGGAGGGCTGTTCTGGGAGGACAAAGCTGCTCCATGCATACCACAGGCTCCTTGCACCCCACAGCAGCCCCAGCAGCACAGCTGTGGATCCCTTTGCCATTCAACATTGCGCCGACACCGGAGCCCTGATGGTGGCACGTGGGATGGATGCCGGGGGTTTGGTCCCAGCTCTGTGCCTGTCCTGCTCCTGCCAGCCTCCCCTAGAAGTGTGGCCAAAGTAAGGCTGTCTGAGCCCACCCACTGCTGAAACTGGGAACCGACCTCATCCTTTTACCCCAGGGCTCATTTAACAAAGGAATGTGTGCGAAGAGCACCTTCATGGGATCACTGCTCTGCTCTTTAAAGGTGTCTGGGGCTTTGGTACCCACACCGAGCTGCCCTGATCCTGGCCACCAAAACCAGAATGAAGACAGAAAGTGAAGCAAAGCCGGCAGAGGTGGGAGCAAGGCTGCAGGGACAGGGCTGTGCACACACCACGGCCCGCTCTGCTGCCACACATCCCTTCCACTTGGTAATTAAGGGAGCTGAAATAAATAGGGAGGGCTTTGTCACCACAGGGATAATTCCTCCTCCCAGGTGGCAGCTGCCCGCAGGGCTGCCCCAGAGGCTGGAAGTGGAAATTTCCCAGAAAGGTAGGAAATCACTCATTCCTGAGGTGTAACCAACCCTCATCCTCCAACACCTGCCTCACTCGTCCCTAAGCAGCGCCCTGGGGCAGCTGCTGTGCCCTTCCCAGAGACAGAACGATCAACAAAGCTCACAGCACTGAATCCCACAGAGATGAACCCCAAGTGGGGGCGCATCCTCCCACCCCGTGCAGGTGCCCCACATGGCTATGGGGACAGTGCAGCTTCAGTCCAATGGCATGGGTGCATTCTAGCGGCACAGTGCCTGCGGGGCATCTCATCCCTTGTCTGGCTTCAGGCTCCCAGAAAACTTACAGGAGTGCAGAGCAGTGGGAACACTGAGTCTTTAAGGGCAGGAGGGGAAACGTGGGCGCTCTGAGAGCTCTGGGGCAAGGATGCACACGGAATCCTTTTGGAGAAGGGAGGAGGTTGAGCCGAGAGGCACCCATTCCCTCAGTGCAGAGGAAGGGAAGTCAGGAAGCCCAGAAACGGGAACCTCGGCCCCACTCCCACCAGAGACAGCAGTGGGAAGACGAGGAGCCCCCCCCCCCCGAGGCTCAGAACGCTGCTGGGAGCTGCGCTGGGCCAAAGCACTGAGGTCAGCTGGTGGAGCCATCTGTTCCCCGCCGGCCGCCCAGCGTGGCTCAGTGCAGCACTCGGCGGCTCTGCAGGGCTGGGAAGGTGCAGCCCAGGCTGAGGCTCATCTGTTCATCACATGGCTGAGAGGCTTTTTCCCAACATCTTCCTTGGTGGCGTGAGCTGGTTTCTAAGCGGCCGCTGACCTCCCTGCTGCCAGGCCAGCAACCTGCCCCCAGCTGGTTTGTCTCACGCCAGACTAGATTACCTGTGCTCTGGGTGCTCTCGACGCTCATTTTAGAAGGCCAGTTTCAGCAAGCAGCCCCTTAGCAAAGCCAGCAAGATCTCCGAGCTCATCCCAGCTGTAACTTCAGCTTCCAGCAGCACACAGCTGTCACTCACAGCGTCGCCTGCGCGGCTCCTTCCCTGCTACAGAAACGGCTCTGGAGCCGCTTCTCCTCCCCGGCTGCTCGGGACGTTGGGTCCACGTGCTGCTGGTGGTGAACGCAGCCGGAGGGCTGCAGGCAGGCAGCCTGAAAGCGACACCGTGCAGCAAACACCCGCGGAATGAACTCTGCTGAACAGCGGCACCCGATCCCGGGAGCGACCCGAGCTGCCCGCAGCGCGAAGCCGGCAGCACGGCCGCCCGGGCCAATCAGCCCCTCTCGATCCCCATCGCCGGCCCCTCAGCGCCACCTAA